TCTCATAAGTTAAAGAATTTTGCAATGTTAGTTTTGTGCTAATAGGAAAATCTAAAATAGTGAGTTTTTGGGGAACAGGACCATATCTGTGAACTAGAAGAACAAATAAAAAGTTCAGCCCCGTTCTTTGGAAATACCCTCCAAGATGGTTTTAATTTATAAATTAAGAGAATTCTTTCTTTCTGCCAAATAGGAAAAAAAACCTCAAACAAGCAAACAAATTCAACTGACATTAACATAGAGAAACTTCTTCTAATCCCTCTTTCTAATCACTTCTAATCACTGCTGTGGGGAGGTGCTAGGGGAATCTCCTGCTTTTCTAGGAATGTCAAAAGAGCAGGCCTTCACCCAATGTAAGCACCAAGCATCAAGAGTTCAAAGTCGTTTTAAATGCTGTATACCTTGAAAATTATTTTTGTAACCTTTTTGTCTTCGCGTGCACTTAAAATAACAAACAAAGCTCTTCACTTACACAAAAAACTTAACACTACACAATGCACTGACACAGTAATTCTTGAAACAAGCATTCCAGATAAGTCAAAGTTGCACGTTGTGCTTTGACGCTTTCTTGAGTAAGCGCGTACCCATTCAAACCACCTGTGTTTGACGGAGATGTGACCACTTATTCAGAGCTTAAATTCTTCCAGTTTGGGATAAAAATCACAGCATCTTCTCGATCAGTGCATTAGAAAATTCTCTACAGCTTTGTTTTTCTTTTTCAGCACCAAAATCTGTGACACTGAATACAGTAAGATAACTCTTCAAGAATGGCAACCTTCAACACCACTCACTGGAATGAGACGACATCCATTTACCAATACCTGGGCTTTCAAGTGCAAAAAATTTACCCTTTCCATGATAACTGGAACACGGCCTGTTTTATTATCCTGATTATATTTATCTTTACTGTAGTTTCTCTGGTGGTGTTGGCTTTCCTCTATGAACTGCTAGACTGTTGCTGCTGTGCGAAAAATAAAACTATGAAAGACCTGGAGAATGAACCCAATCCTGTTAGAGCAATGATGGACAGCTTCAGAAAGCGCGAAACAGAGGTGGTGTAGGAAGGACTGATCATCAGCACGTGAAGAACATTCACCTCCAGTGAAGCCTCTTGAACCTCACAAACGAGCAAGTCACTTTTTTTTTTTTGCCCTTAAATATAATTAATAACAACAGTTACCATTTTATCTCTGGATGTGAACTTGAATAATTAGCAAAGGTTCCTGAGGGCTTAGCAAAAGGATGATCTGTTCCAATGTTATGGGGGAAGAAAACATTTTTGTTTTTAAATGAACTTTTGTTTTTTTTACATCAAGTTACTAGAGTAGATTTGTTTACCCGAACAAACAAATGTTACTGCAAGTGCTTAAAACTCTGTTGTTTAATTGGAGAAAACGTTTTATAAAATTTCTCAGCAATCTAATCACATACAGGGCAAAGACAGCGCTGTCCTCCCACTGAGGTCAAAAATACAGAGACAAGGATGACAAAGAAAGGGGAAAAAAGTTTGAGGTAAGAGGGTTTGACGGCAAGAGATCCCAAGAGACAGGGGAGGCTTGAATGAATGCTCATCTTCAGCAGCTCTTCTTATTCCAAGTTCTTTCCTTTTAGAAAAGAGGGAGGTGGGAGTAAAGTAAGCCAATATGAAATCCATCCCCAAAACGTTAGCCTTCTCTAACCCCCTGCACTAAAATATGACCCCTTCTCCCTGCTGTCCAGAGGACTGCTCTCCCCGACTTAATATTCAATCTGTTCATCAATTTCTGGGTGTTGAAAACACTAATACACTAGCTTAAGATTACACTACTATTTCCACAAGAGCATACAGAACCGAGACTATGATCCAGAAGAAACAGGAGTATCTTTCTGCCTCAAGGCAACCACATCATTTTCTTCAGGCCCAAAACTACACAAATCTTTTCTTATGCTTTACAAATTACCTACCCGTTGCTCCTGGCTACAGGGAATTAGATGGGATGGATATATCATTCCTATCTCCACTTTTCAAAGCAAACTGGAGCTGATCCCTTTCCTGCCATGAAACACAAGCAGACAGGTTGCAGACCTCCCACGCTGATGATAGTAACTCCACCCAGCTTGCATGAGGTTTTCATCAGTAGGTGTCAACACGCTTCACAAAGCGGGTCACATCACGATAGACCTTGCACTACTGATGGTGGGATGGAGGCACAGTGAGAAGTGACTTCATTTTGCACAAGAGAAACTCAGCATACCCCATCAGCCTGCAAATGCATCCTGGAGTTCACACACAAACCTCTCTAACAAATTGTCTCCATTACCCTTGGACCATCAATTTTTACCTCTAGCTCATCAGATTATTTTTCTTTTATTATTGTGCTCCATCTATAACTTTTAAAACAGAAGAGTTTTGCAGTTACAAATAACCACTGAAATACAATGACATATCTGTTCAACTACCAGCCATCAGTACTGCCCACTAAGTCACACACACACACACTACAGATCACACAGAAAACCACGTAGACCAGTGAGAAACATCCCAACCAGACTGAAAAGGTTTGTAAGACAAAGTTTTTAATGGTATTAAAAAAAAAAAACACACATACACACACAAAAAAAATATTCCTGTTGTTAGGGAAACAAAACAGCCTAGCGGCCAAATAGAAGAGTAAGTTACTACACTGATCTCGCAGTCTATCCATGTCAGAAATAACTTTGCACTCTGGTCAGTACTTGTAATTATCTCTTACTTCTTTCGATAAATGCCCTCTCTCAGGCTCAATATGCTCCAGCTCCAGAAGGTCTGGACACACTACAGGACTTGTGATTTTGACTCATGCTTTTCTTGGTTCATGAGATAGAGTCACAAGGTACCCAGGCCACTGCTACACAAGCAGCTACTTTAGCAATTCGTCTGGAGAAGCAATCTCATTCCTTCAATCACAAAATGAGACCACCACCACCACCAACATTCATCTCAGATGCACTTCTGGCTAACTCTCACTTGTACCAGTCCCACATGCAGAGAATGCTTTTAGCTAAAAATCAAACTATAAGCACAGTTAATGGAAGTCGATGTCACAGATGCAAGACAATTTAGGATTCATACTGAGACATGTGATGAACATGTTAGTGATGTTAATGACTTCTACTATCAGGGGACACTGGAAGATACCTCACCACCCTCTGCTGTATTTGACAAGGTCAGCCCTGAAATACTGGTGCCTTGCTCAAGAGAGGCAAGAGTAGCCATTGGGACATACTGAATTAACACGCCTATTTCCTGACAACGAGCACTCCAAATAGCAATAGGATCGCTTTCCACTTGCGATGTTTCTACGCGACGTGCATCCTCACTGCACACAAGAAGGCAGCATGCATGAAGTAACATGGCTAGCCTTTCTTACACTCGCTTCATGCTCTTAGGCCCCTCCTGAGAAGCACACATAGTGAAGACTCTTGGGACTCGTTTCAGCTACCTATTTTACACATCCAAACAAGGAGGCTGGGTGCCTGCACAAGGAAGAGAAGACAAAACGATCTTGTCTTGTCTTGCACAGCGCTGGGCCCTCCATTGTTTCCCACACACAAACTATGCCAGAGAAGCAAAGTGGCCCAACACGGCTCCTGGAGATTTCAGCTCTTGAATAAGGTTGGCCTGGACCGCCGAGACAAAAGTCTTAAGATAAAGACTGAGACCATAACCACACCTTACTATTGATCAATAAAAAGAATAAACATATATGATCTATCTCCTTTATTTTCCAGTTACTCTTCTGAACAGAACGGAGTAAACCAGGCAGTTCTGATTTTTTTGGCTTTGCAGTAACTATCCTCATTGGGAAGGTCACAAAAGTTTCACACGCTGTGGTCTTGTGAAGATTAGCGTGATCTCAATGCCCCTCCTCCCCCCGAAAGAGACCAGGGCAGGTTCTACGAGTCACAGAATCACAGAACAATGAGGAACCTGCAGGCCCTACAGAGCCAGGGACTATAGATGCTAACAGGCAATCACTGTGACATTAGTTATTAGCTTTGCAGTCACTACACAGCAAAACTAGGGACTAACCTCCTAATTTCATTTCTTCTCAAGGGAAGAATTCTTTAAACAGCAGTTTTTACTCCGTTTCCCCAAGACCAGTCTTTACCACACGCATATCCTTACATACGCCTAACAATCTGGTGACTCAAAGGAAAAGTAGGTTTTGAACAAAAGGACTTTGGCAAACAATTGAAGTGAGAATCTTAAGTTTGAAGTCAGTTCTTACACGTGACTCTGATAATTATTCAGGACCTCTGTCCATCTACAGAATGGGTAAATGAGCAACGCAAGTCACCCTGTGATGCCCCACAGTCAATCTGAACAACTGTTCTAAAACCATACAAAGGAGAGATTTGGTTTACTCATTTTCTGTTATTTTTCTTCCATCCTTGCTGCTTCTGTAGTAGTTAGTATATACTCTTCACAGAAACCCAGAAGGAGAAAACCAAAAGGAGAGTGAACTCATTCCACATAAAGCATTACAGAAATATTGAAACCTTTCTGCCATTGTCTGGAACAAAGCCAGCAGCATAAAAAATAGTCTATTTCTCACAGCCGCACGTTCTTACTGGCATAAGCTAATCATTTTACAACTGCAAAAGCAGTCATAGAAACATACAGCCCACAAAACCACAGAACTTTCTAGGCACCCTGCTGCTTGGTCACATACCTGCTTAAATCCTCCAGATGAGAGTGACACTTGAACCGTCTGCCCTCTTCCTGCCTCCCTATCCTTCTTTCCGCCAAAACCCCTCTTAGCCAGGATAAACAGTTTAGGATATTCCATATACAATTCGATTCTCCTAAGAGAGGACAGTGCGCCAAAGCAGCTGAGGGAAACCTGGCCTCCCTGGTGGGAGGGTGTTCAGGTTGCCAAAGCATAACTGTTGTGGAAATCTTCATGCTCTTGCCTAAGGTAGGCTACGACACTCTTAGGAGCCTAGAGCCCAGAAGGAGCCTCAGTCAGAGCCTCGAGGACAAGTGATGCAAGCGGCATCGAGACAACTGCTTCCTGTCACATTAGATGCACAGGAGCGCAGAAGCCCGGTATACCAGAGGGCACAGACCTCCAACTTTAGCACTGGCAGTAGTAAAGCGAGAACAGTAGCTCTGCGCTAGCTCCCATACGCATATGGAGAAACACCTGCCTCCGTTCCTTCTCCTCTCAACGGGTTTCTGTGCTCGTTTATAATTTCTGATATCAAATGATATTCTCCAACAATGAGCTCTTTTGCCAGGTTGGACAGAAAACTACCTTCATTTATTTTAAAATGCCTGGCTGAAAACTTTATTTGGTGGCCTAAGCGCTCTGAAAAGCTGAAGGTACATAATCTCTTTGCTCTCTCCTCACATAGAAGCTGCTCCACTCCTCCCATTGTCCTTGACATTTTTCTCTGCTGTTTTTAGTTTTATTGTTTCCTTTTTGAGTTTAGAAGAGAGCTGCATGCAGCATTCGAGACACGAGCACGCAATGGATACACACAGCAGCGTGTTTTCTGTTTTAGCAATTCCTGACATTCAATTTGCCTTTTAGACGTTAGCAGAAAACTCCATGAGCGCTTTCAGAGAACTATTCACAAGAGCTCTGAGTTAATCATCTCACACAGTAACAGTGGATATAGCACACGCCACTGGGTGTATACAAATCCTTTTCCTACGGCTCCCACTGCTACGCTTCTCATTTGCTCACACCGTTTCGGTGCTGGCTTATTAGTCGCTTATTTACTACTGAGACTTACATCGTCAGCATCACCATCCTAGGAAAACGACAAAACTCCTGATCGCAGCAGAAAGGAACCTGCAGAAGCCCTGGCATTTGTGAACAAAGACTTATTCTCAGGTAAAACAAGAATAACTGCTAAACAGAATATATTGAGTAGGATAAAAATTACAGGATCCATCTTGTGACAGTCTATGACTTTCAGATTATGACTTTCAGAAATAACTTTTGGGCTCTTTCTTGCCAGACAAGGGTGGGGAGGAAAGGGGTGTGACTTATTACTATGCGGTCTAGCGTTTATTGATATTTACAAACGAAAGCCCAGCTTCCTCTGAAGTAAAGCTTGGGCAGCAAGCCTTCTTCCAACTAACAGCATACAACACAAAGGACAAGGCTTGACCTGTATATGCAATAACAAGAATTTTTTTCCATGTTGTGCACATAAGTGACACTTTAAGAGCAAGAATGACCACAGCTGCTACCAGAATTCACAGACTGATTCATGCTAATGAATTAGAGCTCAGAAGGAGACAGCAGACAACGTAAAACATCTGCTAAGCAGGACATTTTCACCAACCTGTGTTTTGCTTTGAGCTTGACGAGCCACCTTGTTCTACCTTTGTTTTCTTCTTCTTGGAAGATGAGGAGTCAGAAGATGGCGCTGGACGTTTTTCTACTGCTGGTGTGGAGAGGGCACGCTTTTTGAATAGCTCTCGCTCTCTCAATAAGCTTGGATCCATAATTCTGTTAAGAAAAACAAAGATTAAATAGATTCAATAAAACAATTAGGAGTATAGACATCTAATTACAAAGTTGTTTACTTTTAGTCTTTTTCCTTCTCTTCCTCTTCACCAACTCCAAGAAACTGATGTTTACGGGGATTTAAGTGTCAAAACACAATCTTCTTGCCAAACAAGAGCCAGAGACTATGGAATATACTTTCTGAATCAGTCCGCAGCTTCGCGTACGTTTGCAAGAATACACGCAAAGCCTACTTGCTTAACACTGAGCTTCCGTCTTTTTGCCGAGTCTGTCTGAAAGCTCTATAATACTATCGCGGAGCTTTAAAGTTACTGGAATGACAAAACTTCGGTGGCAGCGCGACCGGCCGCCCTCACACTGGCAAGGAGCCTGGTTCACCGGCGCACCCCGCCTTCCTACGGGCGGGGAAGGGGCCCGCGGATGTCCCCGCGCAGTCCCCT